CACCACACAATGGAGAGCCCTGTGGTTGTGGATGGTGCAATTTCCGTACCAGGCGGTGATTCAGCCCGACAATATGCTCTCAATGGCGCATCTGTAGAAGTTTGTGAGGGTCTTAGGGGCCAAGCCACATTTCTTTAGACTCCTGAGGTTGAAGAGGCGCTGTTGCTCCTTCTTCACCACGCTGTCTGTGTGAAGGGACCATTTCAGGTTGTCAGTGATGTGCACACACTTACCCAGCATTGTTGCTGACAGCTGTGAGGCTCTTCACTCCAGTCTTTAATAAACTGTTGATAAGGTTCTCTGGGATGCCACACAAACCAAACCCTGGACAGAGAGAAACATAATCAATCAATTAATCAGCATATACACTCATGTATACACTCTCTCACACACACACACACACAAACACTCTTCTATTCTCTCCTCACCTCTTCCACAAAACGTCACGTATCCTGGAGGCCCTTTTCCACTGGGAAGGACACCAGAATCAGACGATCTGGAACCCATCCCCCCTCCAGAACATGACCCTTGAACCAGCCCCACCCCCCAAGTGTACAGTCTCATGCAGCTCCAGGCCCAGCCCTAATTTCAGCAAAGCATTCTACAGTCCCGCATGCAGCCCCACCCCATCTCCAGTTCCCTCTCTGTGGGTAGAGGCAGAGCAGACGTCCCTCCCCTACTGGGCCACGGCAGACAGTCAGCGAGTAATACATACAAAGGATTTGTCAATGTTATTCCCTGCATACCTGCTCTTATGGTAGGTTCCCACGCTAGAGGGAACACACACGCAGGAGGAGTATGCACACACACACACTTTCACATCAGGGATCACTAATGAGTTTGCAAGTGAGAAATCAACCTCCTACAGAGGTTGTAAATATATAATTGGAGATGAAGTGAAACTAAAGAAAAGGCAGAGTGGGCGATTAGTCAAATGTTCTAGATTATTTTGGATGCAAATATGGTCCTATTTTGTGTTCGTTTGGTTTAACTCAATCAACAAAGAATCACAAACATCCACATCCCAAAAACAGCCAGCTGACTGGGCGGGTGTGTGGCTGAGTAGAGGGAGAAGCAGGGAGGTACATCCTGTATAGAGCAGCCTGTTGGATGAAAGGGGCAGCTGTGTCACCGTAAAGCCCTCACTCTGCCTCCATTAAGCCCAGTCTGATAACACCATGTAGACTAGAGAACGCTGCTTCCATCTCCCTCCACTATTCACACTGGACTTAATGCATCCAAATGGCACCAATCATGACTGCGTTCTAAATGTACAATTCAGGAACCTTTTGAGGCGGGGGTTGCAGAAAAGGGGTGGTTAGGGAGAAGATTCGCAGTTTTGTTGCCTAGGAGACCAGAACAAAAGACAGGCATTAAAGCACATGATTCTATTACAGTTGACGGTGTATGAGGGAGGGAGGGACCAACTGAATAAAGCACAGATCAGTTGCTTATTTTCACAATGGACATGGATAGAAAATGTGATTAAAGGCCCTCAGTTTCCTGTCCGCACATATCTGAGGTGAATGGATAGTTCAGAGCAAAGGGTCTACTGTATCATGGTCACCTACACAAGCATCGGTTGGTCAGTGAGAACTTACAAGTAACAGAAAAGACTGGTGCATTTTCCAAGCACTGTAATTGAAGAGGGTTTACGAAGAGGTAATTTGGTCATGGCCCCACATTAGGGGAAACAGCGCCACGGCCGCCCCAGGGCCTTTGTTATTGTTTTTGTGGATGAAACGGAGGTGAGGAGTGTCGAGCAGCATGCTAAAAGTAAATAGCAGTACATATTCTGCAATTTTGCGTGCAATGATGTCCGAGGGGTAGGGGGTTTGTTGTTTGCAGTAACTTCTTTGTTGTTGTAATATCCGAAACGGACGTGACAGTTTCACCATTAAGGATTCCAGCTTTAATGTATTGTATCAGACAACAATATCCATACTTTATCAACAGTTAACAGTCCTGTAATGATACAGGCAGGGAGTGTGTGCTTGTCCGTGGTGGTATTCAAACCCCCAACCTTTTGGTCGTAGCCAAGCGTGCCATTGACTGTGCCACAAAAGTCGATATTCGTGCTTATAAACACAAGGTTGCTACAGTACATTCTTGATTGTGTTTAGAAATTTGATTTGAATTGATTTTTCATTTAAAAGATAATTCATTTTCGGTGGGTCACAGTGCAACCCCCACGCCCAAAACGTAGTAAACCAAGCTGCAACTAGGGGTAGGGGGACCGAGTGGCGCAGCGGTCTAAGGCACTGTATCACAGTGCTAGAGGCGTTCGATCCCGGGCTGTATCACAACTGGCCGTGATCAGGAGTCCCATAAGGCGGCGCACAATTGGCCCAGCATCGTCCGGGTTAGGGGAGGGTTTGGCCGGGGAAGGCCGTCATTGTAAATAACAATTTGTTCTTAACTTGCCTAGTTAAATAAAGGTTCAATAAAAAACAAATCTACATTCTACAGCTACCCCTGGCCCTGAGAATCAGGAGCAGGCCTTCCCCCTGGTGGTGTAAATAGGAACATTATCCTCCCCCCCCATCAGACAGATGTGAATTCAGTTTAGTGTGCCAATGCTGACCTCAGAGGAAAATAACCACTGAGAACTTGGAGTAGCATGCTGTACCCTTGCCTGAGCCAGGGGGGTGCATCTCAATACTTTAAAATGACTTCCTCTCTTTGTCTCCTCTCCTTCCAGTCTGCACTCATCTGAAAACATAGAAGAGGTAGAAGGAATACGGGTGCCTAGTGGAGAGATGTTTTCTCCTGTCCATTTCTTCTTCTTTTTCTTCTTTTTTTATTATTATGTTTTTTTTAGGTGCAGATGAAGGAAGAAATGAAAGGGTTGGCCTGTGAACTACTGATGAACTATGAAGCAGACGCCTTTCACTGTTCCACACGCTCAGCTCACCAATGTTTCTGTGCTGTGACCCACCAAAGGCTTTCAGTTGCTTTATAACAACTTGTGCAGTGGTAATTTACAACATGAATATAAACAATGAAAGAAAATAAAAGCATACATATTTTATAGTATAAAAATTATAAATTATATGAAAGAAATTGAAGAAAAATTACATGATTTGCTGAAATAAAAGTATCCAAAAATATAATTACCCATAATTCCTTGTCACATCAATTTGATTCTAAATGCTTCTAAACTACGCAATAGTAGTAGAAAAAAAAACATAATGACCAAAACCGTTCATTATCTTCATTAAAGTACCATAGCTACAGTTACAGTGGGGGAAAAAAGTATTTAGTCAGCCACCAATTGTGCAAGTTCTCCCACTTAAAAAGATGAGAGAGGCCTGTAATTTTCATCATAGGTACACGTCAACTATGACAGACAAAATGAGGGAAAAAAATCCAGAAAATCACATTGTAGGATTTTTAATGAATTTATTTGCAAATTATGGTGGAAAATAAGTATTTGGTCAATAACAAAAGTTTCTCAATACTTTGTTATATACCCTTTGTTGGCAATGACACAGGTCAAACATTTTCTGTAAGTCTTCACAAGGTTTTCACACACTGTTGCTGGTATTTTGGCCCATTCCTCCATGCAGATCTCCTCTAGAGCAGTGATGTTTTGGGGCTGTCGCTGGGCAACACAGACTTTCAACTCCCTCCAAAGATTTTCTATGGGGTTGAGATCTGGAGACTGGCTAGGCCACTCCAGGACCTTGAAATGCTTCTTACGAAGCCACTCCTTCGTTGCCCGGGCGGTGTGTTTGGGATCATTGTCATGCTGAAAGACCTAGCCACGTTTCATCTTCAATGCCCTTGCTGATGGAAGGAGGTTTTCACTCAAAATCTCACGATACATGGCCCCATTCATTCTTTCCTTTACACGGATCAGTCGTCCTGGTCCCTTTGCAGAAAAACAGCCCCAAAGCATGATGTTTCCACCCCCATGCTTCACAGTAGGTATGGTGTTCTTTGGATGCAACTCAGCATTATTTGTCCTCCAAACACGATGAGTTGAATTTTTACCAAAAAGTTATATTTTGGTTTCATCTGACCATATGACATTCTCCCAATCCTCTTCTGGATCATCCAAATGCACTCTAGCAAACTTCAGACGGGCCTGGACATGTACTGTCTTAAGCAGGGGGACACGTCTGGCACTGCAGGATTTGAGTCCCTGGCGGCGTAGTGTGTTACTGATGGTAGGCTTTGTTACTTTGGTCCCAGCTCTCTGCAGGTCATTCACTAGGTCCCCCCGTGTGGTTCTGGGATTTTTGCTCACCGTTCTTGTGATCATTTTGACCCCACGGGGTGAGATCTTGCGTGGAGCCCCAGATCGAGGGAGATTATCAGTGGTCTTGCATGTCTTCCATTTCCTAATAATTGCTCCCACAGTTGATTTCTTCAAACCAAGCTGCTTACCTATTGCAGATTCAGTGTTCCCAGCCTGGTGCAGGTCTACAATTTTGTTTCTGGTGTCCCTTGACAGCTCTTTGGTCTTGGCCATAGTGGAGTTTGGAGTGTGACTGTTTGAGGTTGCGGACAGGTGTCTTTTATACTGATAACAAGTTCAAACAGGTGCCATTAATACAGGTAACAAGTGGAGGACAGAGGAGCCTCTTAAAGAAGAAGGTACAGGTCTGTGAGAGCCAGAAATCTTGCTTGTTTGTAGGTGACCAAATACTTATTTTCCACCATAATTTGCAAATAAATTCATTAAAAATCCTACAATGTGATTTTCTGGATTTTTTTCTCCTCAATTTGTCTGTCATAGTTGACGTGTACCTATGATGAAAATTACAGGCCTCTCTCATCTTTTTAAGTGGGAGAACTTGCACAATTGGTGGCTGACTAAATACTTTCTTTCCACACTGTAAACAGTAGTTCTTTTCACTTCTGTTTTGTTTCCCAACCCACTATTTATTCACAAAGGTAATGAAAATAATATTTACCCAATAATTACTTTTTCTTTTGCAATTCATTGAAACAAGGCACATCAGAGGTAGAACATTCCTTCAGAAGCATTTGTGCTAGTTCTGTATTGTGTTGTTTAGGTCCTGAAGATAGTTCCTTAGACAGCTAGCTACAGCCTGAGACCACAGCACCACAGCAGACAGGATCCTTAGACAGCTAGCTACAGCCTGAGACCACAGCACCACAGCAGACAGGATCCTTTGACAGCTAGCTACAGCCTGAGACCACAGCACCACAGCAGACAGGATCCTTTGACAACTAGCTACAGCCTGAGACCACAGCACCACAGCAGACAGGATCCTTAGACAGCTAGCTACAGCCTGAGACCACAGCACCACAGCAGACAGGATCCTTTGACAGCTAGCTACAGCCTGAGACCACAGCACCCCAGCAGACAGGATCCTTTGACAGCTAGCTACAGCCTGAGACCACAGCACCCCAGCAGACAGGATCCTTAGACAGCTAGCTACAGCCTGAGCCCACAGCACCACAGCAGACAGGATCCTTAGACAGCTAGCTACAGCCTGAGACCACAGCACCCCAGCAGACAGGATCCTTAGACAGCTAGCTACAGCCTGAGCCCACAGCACCACAGCAGACAGGATCCTTAGACAGCTAGCTACAGCCTGAGACCACAGCACCCCAGCAGACAGGATCCTTTGACAGCTAGCTACAGCCTGAGACCACAGCACCCCAGCAGACAGGATCCTTTGACAGCTAGCTACAGCCTGAGACCACAGCACCCCAGCAGACAGGATCCTTAGACAGCTAGCTACAGCCTGAGACCACAGCACCACAGCAGACAGGATCCTTAGACAGCTAGCTACAGCCTGAGACCACAGCACCCCAGCAGACAGGATCCTTAGACAGCTAGCTACAGCCTGAGACCACAGCACCCCAGCAGACAGGATCATTTGACAGCTAGCTACAGCCTGAGACCACAGCACCCCAGCAGACAGGATCCTTAGACAGCTAGCTACAGCCTGAGACCAGAGCACCCCAGCAGACAGGAGATCCCGTCCAAGACAGACAGACAGACAGACAGAGACTACACAGACAGACAAACATACATACTAACTACTCAGACAGACAGTCAGAGACTACATAGACCATAGACAGACAGACAGACTCACCATCCAGGGGTTGGGCAGCAGGGACAGGCAGAGTCTCTGTGCCATATTCACACAAGGGGTCCTGATCCTTGATCTGGCAGTACTGGGACTAGTGGTTCTGATTGGGTCTGGTTCCTCTTTGGACACACAGGTCAGGACCAGGAGGGTTCTGGAGGACGAACCCCAGGCAGGGTCCACTAACGCCTGGATCTGAGACGCCTTCTCCTCCTCCCCCTCACCACCTAATAGGAGACAGACATACTAGGGTGATATTTTGACAGGGTAGATTTGTAGAGATGTTGCCATAAACTACTGCATCATTTCTAATGTGCGGCTTGACAGATACAGACACATACAATAATACAAAATTAGATTGGAATACAGCATATCACCATTACATTGTGTGTCACAAATGCAGAGTGAGCATCTGCTAAATGACCAAAACGCCTGCAGGAAAGAGGCAATGAGGCCTTAGGGTTGCAGATGCAGGCGATATTATGGAATGGGGCCTTGGTCTCAACTTTCCCTGGCTCTGGTCCTGGAAGGTAGCCTGGTGGAACCAGCCTGATCCTGCGATAGCTCACATTCTATGAGCACAGCAGTCAGTCTGCTTGACAAGATTATCTGGCTAGCAACAAGGCCCTAGCAATAGGAGCAAGTATGAGGAATGTATTGGAGTCTTGATGTTACATCTTCCTGGCTCTGCATTGGCCACATAGATGAACTCATCCACCGCCTGACATACTTCCTGGACCCGAGGGGCGGGGCTGAAATATGGCTGTCCTGATTGGTCCGTTCCCTCCAGGATGAAGAGTGTTGCTGACACTGCTGCTCCACACTGGCTCTCTCCTTCTCCGCCCTACGCACACAACCACAAGCGGTTATAATAGACATATACACATACACACGTAACCATATGAACGCAAGGTGTACATTACCTCAAACGGTAACAGACAGTACATTTCAAATCAGTCAAAGGAGGACTATATTGAAAACAGTAACCCACTGTTTCTTAATCAACTCATCATCAAACCTTTGATTAGTGGAATCAGGTGTGTAATGCTAGCGCAAACAATACAAAGTGTACCCCTTTGATTCCCCAGGATCAGGATTAAGAAACACTGCACTAACCTGTTGGTTGAGTAGAGAGTGAGAATGTTGAATTTGTGCTGAACAACATTGTTTTTGTTTAGTTAGTGAGCCGCAGAAAGAAAAACAAAGGCTTTAGGTGGGCCACCACAGTATGGAAGTGTTTGGCATCCACTAGTGTGAAGCAAGAGAGCCCCCTTCTGGTTGGTCATTACTTCTGCAGGATGGTTTTAATACTCTTCACCATCCCTGTACAGTACCAACCTTCTTTACTCAGCATTGAGCTGTTGTGTTTATTGTGAGCTAAAAAAAAATGCAGGTAATACCAATATGGTGGATGCCTATTGTAACTGTGTCTATTTTGCTTATCACTTATCTAGAGTGACAGTCAGTGCATTCAACTAAAGTATGTCAGACAACCATATCACAGTCATTGCAAGTAAAACCTTGTTATCTTCCTCATGCATGCCAAGACCAGGGGCTGTAACCACAACGTCTCAGAGTAGGAGTGCTGATCTAGGATCAGTTTGGCCTTTTATATCAAAATGAATAAGATTATATGGACAGATCCTAGATCAGGACTCCTACTCTGAGATGCTTTGTGGATAAGGGCCCAGAGGTCCAGACCAGTACCCACTCTGTCATAAAGACCTGGCTCCTCCATTCCCTCCTCCCCATCGCACAGAGGGGTGTGTAGGGCCTCTAACTGGGGCATGGTCACATGGTCGACGGAGGGCCAATGAGGCATGTCCTTGATCAGGAAGTATCTCCATAGTAACGGGTCTCTAACCACAGCACCGAGGTATAATAAGAACTGGAGACCGTGTCCAAGATCTCCGACCGTTGTTTTCAAGGTAATCTACTCACGTTCGCATCAGTGGCGTGAATTCATGGATGCCAAGGTAAGCCAGGCTTCCCAAAAATGTTGACCCCCAAAAAAATTTAATAATTTGTCTCTCTGTGTTTCATAATTTTCCATCAATTCGGAAGAGGCTGAATGTATCTCACCGGAGAAAGCATCTGAGCGAGCGAAACAGCGCCCCTCTGTCTCTGTATGTGTAGCCCATCTATCTGATGCTGTCTGGTCAAAAATAGTATGATATCGTTGCCATAGCGCTGAATGCAAGGGAAGCCAGCGAGCATTTGGCCTCCCTTGATAAAAAAATTATACAATAATAGCCCATCAGCGTTGAGCTAAACTGAGTGAGCTCAACTGTGAATGGTCCTGGCGCACCAAAGAAAAGTGTCAAGGGAAGCCAGTTTTGATTTGGCTTCACACCAATCACATCACATCACATATAGCCAAACGTCATTGACAGAAAAAAACTTGAATTGCTGCATCTCGTTGGCTAGCTAGCTAGCTAAAATTGTCCCTTTCCTAAATTAGCCATGGACAAAGATAGGTATTTGGACTTGTGGTTTTACTTAATTCTCCGTACTGGCCAACGATTATAATGGCGATTCTGATCCAACCATAAATTCATACATTGTGCCCCTGGCCTGAGAGGATGGAAGTTCAAAATGTAGCTAGATGTAGTAGGCTAATGTTAACTAGCTGGCTAATTGTTGCCCATGAAAGGAAGTTAAGGCTAGCGAGCAAGTATTTTAGCCAGGTAGCCTAGGACAACAAAAACTAAAAGTGTGTACTGTATGACAGAGTCATAGACCGTTTTTGGAACATGAAAGAGAGGAGGATGGCATTGGCGTTTCTCTACAAGTAGGGTGAGTCAACATGTTTTTTCTACTTACGCACACACATACATACACACACACACACAGAAATCAGTACCATGGACAGCCACATGACATTTAGCTTATGTTGATTGGACTAAATTGTTTTTGGAATATTTGAGTTGGCACTGTATTAGACTAAGCATAGGTGATTTGATGATGTTGAAATGTTGATGTTGAAAGGGTGCTGGAATAATGGAGGCAGCTCCTGTTTTCTTTGTGACTTGCGGTAACTCTCCGGTGTTCTAAATCAATAGTTCTTTAGTAGTCCGAAAATGTCGGCAACATTAACTTGATTGACCATGCTGTAGGTCATGTAACTGTTTGTTACATGCAATATGCTTTGTGGACTCCACTGGACAGTATATCTCACTGGTCATCCCCAAAGCCAACACCTCCTTTGGCCGCCATTCCTTCCAGTTCTCTGCTGCCAATGACTGGAACGAACTGCAAAAATCTCTGAAGCTGGAGACTATTATCTCCCTCACTATCTTTAAGCATCAGTTGTCAGAGCACCTTACCGATCATTGCACCTGTACACCGCCCATCTGTAATTAGCCCATCCAACTACCTCATCCCCATATTGTTATTTATTTTGCTAATTTGCACCCCAGTATCTCTATTTGCACATCATCTTTTGCACATCTATCATTCCAGTGTTAATACGAAATTGTAACTATTTTGCACTATGGCCTATTTATTGCCTTACCTCCATAATTTATTACATTCGCACACACTGTATATATATTTTCTGTTGTATTTTTGACTTTACGTTTTGTTTACCCCATGTGTAACTCTGTGTTGTTGTTTTTATCGCACTGCTTTGCTTTATCTTGGCCAGGTCGCAGTTGTAAATGAGAACTTGTTCTCAACTGGCTTACCTGGTTAAATAAAGGTGAAATAAAAAAAATGATGCTCTCCAGTTTTGTGATGAAACAAAGGTGTGGTTGAATTTATTCTGCCACTGTGTCTTCTTATTGTCTTGGTCTTAGGCCGATATGCAATGTTCCCTTAAAATCTTTCCGGCACTGAGCAAATTTCAGGCCTGCTGAACGCAAACTTGAATGTTGTGAAAATTCTGTGAACTTCTAGCGCGCGTTTACTGTGAACAGTGAGGCTGTACCCACTTTAAGTTACAGTTTCTGACAGTGGTCCAAGTAGGCTACTGTGGCTATTTGATCATAACTACAAGAGTGGCCTGCCATCAAAAACAATGGAGAAAATGCATCCCATAACATTTTAACATGAAAATAGCTGTTCTATCATTCAGCCTACAGTAGCAGCCAATGTGTGGTGTTCAATGTAGGCCTACATTCCATGTGACTTTTGAAAAAAACATGCAGGGCTTGACATTAACCTGTTTATCCACTTGTCCTTCAGACAATGAGGTGACTGAAAATGTTGTGTTGTTTGATGCAATAAACCCCTTTATAAAATAAAATGCATTATTATTCCCATACCATTATTACAGAGAATTAGACAAATTATGCTACCCTCTGCCTATTGGCTACTTAGCTTATTCAAGCCTGTCTCAAAATACAACACTACCCCTTTAAGAAGAAAAAAGCTCTTTACCCTGACTCCGTTTTCAAAGATGTCTAGAAATGTACACGTTTTGTGCCCATTGCTGACTACAAATTATCTATAACTGGGCTAATAACTCACTAACTAGCAAAGAATATGAACAAATGTGCAGGTGGCTACATGCAGCTCTCGCTTTGATCTCAAAACAAGCCCATCTACTCATGACCTCTCATGATGTAAACAGTTCAAAGAGAATGGCACAGATCCATATATGGCAATGGTCTATTTGCATATAGGCCTACTGCAGCTCTAATTGGTTATGCCGCACCGGTCTTTAGAGTAGGACTGAGTTATGCATGTCAATGCAATATAATCCTACTCCAATGCGTTCTGCCTACAACGAAATCTCTTGCATAGTTTGTTTTGTTTCGGTATGTTGCATTGAAAGTGGCTAGTATTGCGTTGACTCGATTACAATTCCCACAGTAAAGGGAAACGTTGATAGTTATAACTGGAGGAGCTTTACTGGAGGAGCTCATGTAATGTAATTATGTACACGAGCATAAATCACCACATTTGTAATTATAGTCCCGTCCGAATCTGCCATGTAAGTAATTTTACTTGGCCGGAAGGTTATTATACCAGCCCCCATATCCCATGCAAATCGTCATCCCTGTGTTTTGAGGGATATTACAGTTTAACAGGTGATGCACTCAGTTTAGGTAAGAACATGGGAACAAATTGATGCTTAAAACAAAGTGCTATCCACATAGCCTACAGCCAATTAAGTGATAAATTGCCAAATATGTCAGGTAATTAAATGTCTGCATAGGTTACAGTTCATGGTTCTTATTGATATGTATTATTATTTGGACTTTCTCCAAACTGAAGGTCATTAGGCCAATATTAGACTTTACCTAGACATCATAAATATCTACACGCCTAGAAGAGCCTCCAGGCTTCCATCAAAATGGTAAATTGTGAATGAGGAAAAAAAAGAATTACAGGGGCAGTTTGGTAAAACTAATCCTGTCAGAATCGTCCACTGGAAAAACAGACATGCTGGGGTAATAATTACATAACCAACGTTCTATAATAATACTAGTCCCATGTGAATATGGCTTAAGGGGAAAAATTCAAGGAAGTTGAGTGAAGTTCAATCACGTGCTTCTTTGTGCAGGCTGATATTTCTTCTGCGCTGCAGTCCTGGGCGAGCTTTAGAGGGAACATTGCTTATATGTCACGGTTGCAAGGCATATTAACAAACGGGAGATTATAGAGCAAACAACACAATTATCACAACACACAGGTTGTAATATGGCTTTTTTTCCCTGGCTTGGCTTCCCCAGTGATTTTAATCACGTACTGCTACTAGTTCGCATACGCCGATTCATGGACCTTCTATATCCGGGTTGCATCCGGTTCATACAGATATATTTGAGAAAGGAGGAGATACAGTGGGGAGAACAAGTATTGGATACACTGCCGATTTTGCAGGTTTTCGTACTTACAAAG